CGAGTTTAAGGATCTCATGTAATATTTTTGTCTCTTCTAAGCTGACCTCTGCCATGATGTAAGAATTTCTCCACTGCCTTTGCAGTGTTGTCCCCCCCCCCCCCCCAAGCCTCACTCATCTTTTTGACTGGCAAAAGCTGATGTGGCCCCACTGCCTAAGTCTCAACTGTAAAATTTCCTGGCACAAGGCTCAGGCAGCACCGTTTGGTTCTTCAATTGTGGAGTCAAGATTCGAGGAGCAGAGCTGCTGGGTTGGTGAGCTCGCAGCCTGGCACACCAGCATGCTAAAAGCTTCCGGCTGTCTGCATGGTTGGCTCTACTTCCTGGGGTTTAAAGCTCTTGGGGTTTATTAGGCTCTTGATGGCTGAAGAAACCTTCCAGCCCTTGGCACAAGCGACTCACCTGCAGTTACACAGGAAGTGCATTTCAGAAGCATCTGCTCAAGGACAAGGGTCCGCACAGACAGGGGCGTAAGCTGCTTCGACGTAGAGGCGGTTTTTAGGCCAACACTGGAGACCCTTCTGCAGAAGATGAATCTCTCTAGTATCAGCAGCTGGTGATACACTGCTCAACTGAACTCCACCGTTGTAGGTTTGTGATTCTCTCAGGCCAACGTCAAAGGGCTTTCCATTCCAGTAGGCATTAGATGAGGGGTTCTCAACCTTCCCAATGCTGTGACCCTTTACTATGTTGTGGTGACGCTCAACTATAAAATTATTTTTGTTGCTACTTCTTAACTGTAATTTGCTATTGTTACGAATGTAACATAAACAAATATCTGTGTTTTCTAATGGTCTTAGGTGACCCCTATGCAAGGATCATTTGACTCCCACAGAGGTTTGACCGACAGGCCGAGAACCACCACACTAAAAGCTTCCACCGCTCTACAAAAGGTGTGGTGTGCACACATGGGTGCTTCGCCTGCTCTGTCTCTCTGGCCTAGAATGACCCCTGGAAAATTAATACACGTCAATCAGAGGCGCTTTCCACACGCCCCTCCCCGCACGGCATTTGCTCTCACCACCCTGGCAGGCCACACAGATCTCTTGCTGCTCCTTTACTTCATTCTGGCTAGCTGGCACCTGCTCTCTCCTTTGCAAGATTCTCCCTATGTGGTTCACTGTCCCTTAAAGCAGCTGCTGGGCCAAGCACAGAGCTCTGCTCACAGTGGTCTTCTTTTGATTGTTTGCCAGGTTCTATGAGCTCATAAGAGGATAAGGATGTTAACGATGAAAACTTTGACTGTATTATTATTTGTGCATTATATGCACGCATGTGAGTGTGCCCGACTTTTAGAGGCCAGAGGTGGACATCTGACGCCGTTCTCACTTTCTGTCCTGTTTTATAAGACAGGGTCTCTCGCTGAACCCAGAGCTCACTGATTAGACGGGCTGCCAGAGCCTCTCCTAGGGGCCTCCTGTTTCCCACTCCAGGACTGGGACTGTAGGTACAAGCCAAGCCTTGCTTTTAAAATTTATTTGCATATGGTGTATTTATACCTGCGCATGATGTGGGGGCCAGAGAAGGACATCAGATGTCCTGCTGTGTCACACTCCACCTTATCCCTTCAGCAGTGTCTCTCAGCCAAAGCTCTCCTTTTTTAGCTAGTCTGGCTGGCCGGTCGTCTCCTGGCTGTTTTACACGGCGCTAAGGATCTGAGCTCAGGTGCTCCACAACATGGGGCAGTTTACTCGCCGCACCATCGCCCAGCACCTTCTCTTTTCCTTCTTTCAAAAAGATTTATTTTATTAAATGAAAAAATACGTGTATGAGTGTTTTTCCTGTCTGTGTACTGTTTTCATGCTTGGTGCCCTCAGATGTCAGAAAAAGGGGCATTGGATCCCCTAGACCTGGAGTTACAGATAGTTGTGGCTCACCATGTAGATGTTGGGAATTGAACCTGGATCCTCTGGAAGAGTAGCAGTGTGCTCTTAACCACTGAGCCATCTCTCTACTATCTGCCTACCTACCTACCTACCTACCTACCCACCCACCCACCCACCCACCCACCCATCTATGTATATACTGTGAGTTTATGTGCACTTTAGTCAAGCAGGTGCCTACAAGAGGCTAGAGGGTGTTGGATCCCCGGTCTCTGGAGTTACAGGCAGTTGTGAGCTGCCTGATATTAGGTTGGGAATTGCCCTGGGTCTTCTGCAAGAGCAGTACACACTCTAACTGCTGAGCCATGTCCTGAGAACCAGGGTTACAGGTAGGAAGTAATGAGACTAGTGTAAGTTAGTATAAGTCCTGTCCACCAGAAAACGGTGCTAGTCGTACTGCCCTTAACATGAAAGCATTATAAACATTCCTTGGTCCAGCTTCATAAGACTTCTACTTAGGGCATAAAAACAGCGACAGAGAACAGAGGGTAGAGTTTAGTACACTGTACATACACGGTAATGTACTCTGAACCTGAGATTTTAATGCTCTTAAGAATTTAACCTGAGTCCCACATTTAATCTCAGAATGACATGGACAATGATTTTAGAGCTTGGTATTGGGCACCTGGGTCATTCTACCAAATACAGAGACAGTCTGATGCTGCACGGCCAGGTGCTCGGTCCGGGTGATCTCGCCACCTATCTGGCACTCAGAGTTGCTTAGGTAGGACCATGTGTATTCGCAGTCACAGCCCCACTTGGAGTTCGTGAAGGTTTCCAAATGGTGAACTGATGACTTTCATATACCCACAGACTTCATCTTTGATTTTCTTCCTGAGACATAGAGAAGATTTTGATAATTCTGTGGGCCCCACGGCTGACACAGCCCGGGTACAGCCCTTTCCGGTACTGGTACCCTGCTGGCTAGAATTACTGTACTTGGGAGATAAATTGCTCTCTCTCTTTTCCCCAAAAGGAACAGGTTCCCACCTACAGTGACAAATGGTCTCTACAGTGCTTCTATTCCAGAGGAGGCTCAGGCTTCAGATATGAGTACCATCAAATAGGCTGCAGATAGGGAGAGTAAAGGGAAAAATTAAAGCCATTATATGTTGGAAGGGAGAAAGAAATGGTCCCTTAGGATTGGATCACCTGGATGTGACTTAGGCTCAAGCCAGGGGCAGCCCGCCATCTTTATAACTTCTGACTAGGTCCAGTTTCTAAGCAAAAGCAGACAGGTAGGCCTCCATCATCCTGACTGCCGCAGCCACCACCCCAGTGTCTGTTACCTCGCCACCAATACGGGGTGTGCTTCACTTCTGCCCTGGGCATAAATGCTATCAAAAGACAGTGAGTACTGCTGAGGAGAAAATTAAGGACAAAATGGTGCTTCCTGTGCCTACGTTTTTCTTTGTTTATTTTCTAATAATATATATTTGTTAATTAAAATTATAGGACAGCACACCTGAGGGACTAGGGAGGTAAGTGCCGCCCTTTCGCCTTATTTTTATGGCTTGTACTCCCTTCCTTGGGGTGCCCCTCCCGCACACACACACCCACATGCTCTTATGAGCGCACACATGGCCGGCAGGTGTTTTATTTATAAGTGACCAGCTCACCTCATCGCCAATCAGGCAGATGCACACAGATCTGTTGTATGAAACCCCGTTTCTTTGCTTAATAGCTGAGCTATCCAGCCATAGCATAATAATGACCAGGTAAATGGGTCTCCATTTCTAGAACCTGCTCCAAGCTTTCTCAGTTGTGACTAACTGCAAGAACTCCCAAACCATCAGAAAGTAAACAAACAAAACCCAATAACCAACAAACAACAAAGCCGCCAAACCACTTAAACGGCAAACCAAATCCAAACCTTTTGCCCCTACCTTCAGTCTAGACAGGAAACCCACAGTCACAAACTGCAAACATTTTGGGGATGATGTTTTAACTTGAAGCTTTTGAGAAAAGCGAGACCTAGAGCAGGGTGACATGAGAGAAATGAACCTGCAGGTGACACCAAAGGGATCATGGGTTATGTGCCGACAGACTCTGCAGTACACAGATGCTGGGTGCTTAGAAGGACATCCAAAGAACAAAACCCTCTGAGGCAAGATGTGTAAGCTGAGCGTTGTTTAAAAGGCTGAGGTTGGCTCCAACTGTCCTCACCTGGCAATGGCAGGTGTCAGACAGAGTTACTAATGCTCCACCCCACTGCCATCCTAGCAGCTCACGAACTGTCAAATCAACAATCTGTAATAAAGGAAGGGCCCTTTGGGAACTGAAATGGAGCACCTCTTCCTCTCCCTGCTTGATAAAGTCTGCCATTTGCAATCAAAGCAAGCTTGCCCGGAGCTGGGACACAGCACCAGCCACCGAGCAGGATCTGTTTCAGAAGAAGGACCAAAGATTCACACTCAACTCATCTCCTTGTGTTCTACCTGAACCCAAGAGAATTCCACACTACCTTCAGGATTCCCTGGAGGACTGCACTCTATCCTCCGAACTTCTCATGCTGTCGCCCACTACCTGCTTGAACTTCTCAAAGGCAGCTCCGGCAAACACACTAAGCTGTGATCCTCGAATGAAGCAGATGAAGACAGTTCTGCATGAAGCTTTAAATGGTGGGTTTTTCAAGGTGAAACTTAAGCCCCAGAGTCTGAGCTTCAGAAATCCCTACCCAGGGCTGGAGACATGTCAGGAGGGGAGGGCTTGACTCATATGCATGAGGGCCTGGGTTCAGTCTCCAGCATGGAGAGAAAACAAAAAACCCAATAAGGTAAATAGAGTTGACTTTCCAGGCTGTGGATTTTTGAAATGTCCTAGTTTTAGGAAGTGGGATTAGGAACAGACTTGTGTGTCATGGGTTGGCCTCATAATCGTTGTGCAGCTGAGAATACTGTTCAACTTCTGCTCCTCCTGCTTCTACCTCTCAAAGGCCACGATCACAGGTGTGCCATCACGCTAGCTTAGCAGGTGCTGCCGGCGGATCCCAGGGCTCTGATCATGGCGGGCAAGTGACCACAAATGACCCACATGCCCCTCAGGCTGGACTTGGCTGTGAATTTCACGCAGACACAGAGCTGGAGAACTCTACTGCACCTAAGAAGATTCACTCACCATCAGTTCCTCAGGCGCTGGTCTTTCTTTGGGCTGTTTCCTCATGCTGTAGTAGGAAGACAAAAGACCTTCATTTATATCTGTATATAAATGTATTTTTTTTCCTGTTAATTTCTACCCTGGTTTCTCCTGGAATTTGCAAGTTTGCAAAATCCATCAACTCAACGCTTGTCCGAAGTACTAACACACATTTCTGCTCTCATGCTGGCCTTGGGTCAGACTTCTGGGGACACTGACTCAGTCTTTTATTAAAGTTATGGTTGAAATAAAGATAAGTTTATTGTAATTTTATTCTTTAAAGATCTATCTATTTTACTTTATGGCCATGCTTTGCTTGCATGTATGTATATGTAGCATGTACATGCCTGAGGCCAGAGGTGTCAAAAGATGGTGTCAGATCCTCTGGTACTGGAGTTATAGGTGTTTGGGAACCACCACGTGGGTGTTGCGAACTGAATTCAGATCCTCTGGAGACCAGCTCTTATCCACGGAACCACCCCATTACCCCTGTAATTCTGTTTTTGAAATCACTGTGGAAAGAGCAGCAATATTCTCTCCCTGACTCAGCTGTCAACTTATCAACCCTAAATCCAGCGGACAGTATGTTTCTATTTGGTCACTGGGATAAGAAGGAAAAGAGAATGGTGACAATAAAGTCACATGAGAAAGCACTCCTTGGTTCCAGCACTCAAAACCAAGCTAGAAATAAAGGTCAGAAGTGTAAATAATACTACAAGACCACAGATGGCTCCTTACACACCCTCTTGACTGGCATTTATTTTAGTTAAAATGCATGCTAATAATTCATTTCTCAGCTATACGACAGTTAAGTTTCTCTAAGCCCCTGGTCTTCCCTCCTATAGTTATAGTTAGTGGCAGTTGCATGAACTTAGCTCTGTGATGAAGGACCACAATGGTACAGAGGTGACCGAAGGAGGCTGCCTACCTGTGGCCATGTTTGTTTTAAACTCAGAGCACTTGTGAAATGAAGTCATGAAAAAAGATTGCTGTATTTGCTGACGATACTTTTTTTTTTTTTTAAATAGATTTGGTAAACAAGACCCATAGCTATGAAGCATTAGTGACACTGAGGACATTTGCTTTCCCTATAAATAACCATATGCACCTCTCAACTGCTGCATCCATTAACTAGTGACTCAAGCTGTCTGCACTGGAGTTGGTAACAGTCCTGAGCTGACATTCCAAGTAGCTGTATCTCTTGGGAAAACAAGGCTATTACCCACGATCGCTTCTGTTGCGGCTGACATCTGTGGAGATTTCAACACAGGTTATCCCTCCCCCTGTCTCCATAAAACTTTTATATAATAGCCAATTAATGCTTTGGGTAGAACGATGGTAAAGCCTCATGCACTGTTCTCCCTGGCTACCCAGCTCACTCCTCCTCCAGGCTGGTCTCAGACCACACAGAAACCACGCAGATGTCGGAAATCCAAGCTCTCTCTGTGACGCCCAAAGCCAGGGCTCCAGGCAGCCTGCAGCTGCAGTTCCTTCCTCAGTTTTTGCATAAAGTGGGGCACGATGTACTTCAGAGTGTTCTCAGAAATTACATAAATCAGAAAATAAGAGGTTAATCGGTTTCTGGACAAGGGGTCTAACGAACAGTTTTAATGAGCTTCAAGAGCTCATAGGCCCAGTGTTTAATTAATAGAATTTCCTCTCACTATGGAATGCTTTGGAAACAAAAGATTTCTGGAATAAAAACAGTTTTCAAAAGCTACAGAATATGATGTATTTTAAGTAAATAGAAACAATTACAATTTTTAGAACTGGGGGAAATTTTCTTCCTCATTTTTTTCTGGTGGAATATAAACCGTACAAGACATTTTCATTAAGAGGTAACATATTACACTCAGTCAAAAAGGTGATAAAGCTTGACATTTATATTAAGGAATATGTCTTGGTTTCACTTTTGTGTAGCCATCAGATGGATCATGGGGGGAGGGGACAGCGCACAGCCATTCCAGTTGAGCAAGGACATGTCGTGGTCCGCGCCACGCTGTCACCTCAGAGTAAAGGCTTTTCCTGGCGGGGGTGGCTTGTGCACCTTGCCGGAAGGGTAAAGGAGGGAGAGGAGACAGGCAGCTCCGAAAAAGTTTCAGAATGTTTAGTGTGTGCTGCCTCTTGCTCTGGAGATCACCATTCCAATGTCCCTAATTGCCTCTTGTCTCTGGGGTAATTCCCCATTCTGGGGTGAGCCAGAGGGCAGTGGAGCAACTGGCCTCCTGAGGCCACACCACAGAGGTCCAGCAGGACTGGGGAGATGGTGAAAGGGCTAATAAAAGAAAGATGTGTCCTGTGAGGAGGAAAAGGCAGAAAGCTGGACAAGAACCCTGGGCTGAAAACTGTTTGTTTCTTCAGAGTAAAATGATAAGGCCTTGCCAGGAGGCTTCAAAATCCCATGTCTGTTCCTCTGGATTGAGAGGATTTAATGAAGGTCTCTGCAACATCAAACTTCAGTGAGATGTGACTAAATTGTGTTTACAATCCACCCGAAGACAAGTTATTTACTGAGACTCAGGTGAATTAATAGACTACTTTGCTAGGTAATAGGCAGTTATATGGGTAACTTGAGGTTACATTAAAAAAAAAAAAGCATCCTATGTCTATCAATAGAGGCTATAAAATTATGTATTTCTTGGGAAGAAAAATCAAAGAGGATGTCAACAGTGCCTGTGTTGGAGGAAGCCCCTTCTCAGTACTTTATTGAGATGGGGCACCTCTGAAATATGTTCACAACCCTTTGTGTAAATAACATTTACATAATTTAAACAATTTCTTGGCTTTGTTGCCCCAGCTGCCCAAGGCCCTGAAGTCCCTCCCATCTCCAAAAGGAAGCAGGGAGAGTCACAAGGTCTCGGAGAGCCTCGGAGTTAATGGCATGTATCATTTACATTGAGGGCATGACGGGTTTGCAAACGGGCTCACCACTGAGTGATGAAATGTACGAATGGCTCCGAGAACTCTCCAAGCGGAAGGACCGGCGAATCCTGGGAGGAAGGAGGAAACAAGTCACCCAAAGTCACACAATGCTTTTTTTCTTTTTTTCTTTCTTCCTCTTCCACCCACTGTGGAGGAGCTGGAATGGCATAAGGCCTCATCCAATTAAAAGGACTGGCTGAACCCTCCTCCACACAGTGAGGTAAAGATGCCAAATTTCAAGCCACACACATTTCATGATGGTGAGAAACACAAGAGCAGAGAGGGAGGGGAGGTGAAAAAAGGACAATGATAGCCACGGGGTAGGATGGAAGGTAGGGTAAGTGTAAATGAGAAATTAATGATTATTTAAGTAACACACAAATGGTCTTGTAATTAACAAAGAGCCAGGAAATTATTCTTGTTTTGACCTTTGTTTCTTTTCCTAGATTTGCTATTTATTTACACTTTCCTGTTATTTACATTTTATTTGTATATTTGACTGCTCTTAAATTCTTGCTTGCCCCTTGCTGTATGTTTGCATCGAGTTTTTAGTTTTTTAATTTAAAAGTACGACACTTTGTAAGGTAAGTTGTTTCCTGAGAAGAAATTTCATCCGTTCTGCCAGTCTGGGCGGACTGTTGTGTCAGGAAGCCGGTGAATTAGGGACATAATGAGAAACTCCCACCTCCACCACCAGACCAAAAAACCAAACCAAACCAAACAAAACACCAGGAGTGGCTGTAGGAGCAACTCAGAAAGAGCAGAAAAGTACATGGCAACAAATAACTGGGCTCCATGACCCAGAGAGAGAACCCCATTGCCATTCGCAGAGGAAGGCTTTAAGAATTTAGGAGTTTTTCCACGAGTGACAGAGAGCGCCGCTGTGTTTATAGCAAGGCAGCTCAGGATGTAATGAAATTACACTGCAGAGTACTTCAACAGTCATCTCATTAGGCCTACAGTTGGAACAAGAGAGCCACATAAAGTAGGCAGCTGCAAATGACTCCATTCTCATCTATTCTCATTTGCTATTAAAAATACCTTTCGGCGCCTTTTTTCCCTCCCTGACACCCTACAGAAAGTGCCCTGCAAAGTATGATACATGCACCTATTTAAATTAACAAAGGAATGACTTATTTTAATCTCACTGCGCTTTCGAGTGCTTTGGCCATTCGGATGAGCAATATATCATTACACACAACCTTCCAGCGCTGCAGGCTAGGAACTCAGAGCATGCAGCATTTGGTGGGAGCCAAACAATTTCTCTAGCACACAACTGTGTCAAATGCATGCATGTATTCATTATGGAGAACGAGAGGAAACAGCTTTGATGTGGTGGAGAGCAGAGGAAGATAAAGGCACCTCTGCACTGTGTGTGCCATTATCCATGGTGGCAGGCAGACACAACCGCACAGCCTCCTATGTGATTAGTAAATATACATATAATTGCTGTGGCCAATTATCAGAAAAATGAGATCGGTAATTACAAGACAGAAAATTAACTAGAACTCTTATTAAGGCTTTGTTTCCGATTCAAACAGTTTGGAAACTGCTGGAAAATACAATTAAATCAAAAGGAACTGAGGGGGCCAAAGCAGCCAAAAAAAAAAAAAAAAAAAAAAAAGTGTGTGTGAGAAGATGAACTAGATACATCTTGGCTTTTGCATGTACACACTCTGAATTTATTCATCCAGTGAAAGCAAGAGAGGGGAGGGGATGGCTGCAATTCTAAACTTGAAATTGTCATCAGTAGAGAAAGCCTTCCAGGAGGAAAGAAAACAAAGGAAAGGGGGTGTGAAATAAAAGCCCATCAACTTCAAAGCACCACTCACAGGCACACACAGCGCAGGGTGAAGCGGCTTCTCAAAAGGCACAAGACCCACAATAACAGGACCAGCCCTCCCTCAGTAACACAGCTGTAAAATGGCCACAGAAGTCCCATTGGCTTGAAAAGCAGAAATAAAACAGAAATAAAACCAGGTCAATTTCGGACCTGGTCTGCTCTGAAGAAAGCCATCATATATACATCTATCTATCTATCTATCTATCTATCTATCTATCTATCTACCTACCTACCTACCTACCTACCTATCTATTTACCTACCTATCTATCCTGGATCAAGAAATGACATTTTAGCTAGACGTGGCGGTACATGCTTTCTGTCCCAGCAGTCAGGAGGAAGATGGATCTCTTGAGTTTGAGGCCAACCTGGGTTACACAGTGACTTTCCAGGCAAGCCAGTGCTACACAGTGAGACCCTGTCTCAAAAATAAAAACAAAGACAAAGCAAAAAAATTAAAAAAAAAAAACCCTCCAGAAATGACATTTTTCTGTCTTCAACAACCATGAGTGAGAAGATAGTTTGAAGGTGAAGACGAAAAAAATTAAACTCTGTCTGTGAAGAAGTGTTGTCTTTGCATGGACCTTTTCCTTTGTGTGTGTGCGTGCGTGTAGTACTCTGATTATCTGAGTGGCTATTGCTTAACTGATTTATTTATTTACTTATCACTTTTCAAGACAGGGTCTTACTCTGCAGGCCTGGCTGGCCCTGAACTCACAGAGACCCACTTGCCTTTGCCTCCTCCAGAGTGCTAGGACTAAAGGCATACCACTGCCAAGCCCCGACCGGCAGTTGCTTTCAAACTCAGTATTTAGGAATATAAAGCTTGGTACCGTAATGTGTCTGAATATTTACCAAGATGGTTAAACTTCTGGACTGGATTTCTTACAAAGATCCTGCATAAAACATGATGCTAATGTAGCCTTTGCTTCAAGGTGGGATGCCAAGAGCCAAATATGAGTTAGGGACTAGGCAGCTTGATGAGGCAGTGGAAGGGAAATGAGACACGTAGCACCTTGCATGGACATTTAATTTTATTTAAGACCTAATATCATAGCCTGTTACATCCCTCGTATTATAAAACTATGGAACACCGGGTGGTAGCCGTGAATAATTTATTTTACTTCTGAAAACACTAGCCCATGTTGACTTTGGAAAGCCACAGAGAGCAGATTCTCATCTCAGTGGGGCCTGGAGGAAATCACTCATTGGAGATGTGTGTGTGTGTCGGGGGTTATTTTAATCTCATGTGCACACTGCCAGATATTTCTTTCTCACTGCATGTCTCTTGCATGCCTCACGAAGCCTATTCTGAGAAGCAGAGGGCTAGCTGGAGGGTGGGTGGGGGAAACAGAGGTAAAGGTGGCCATTGAGAGCTCTGTGTTCCAGGAAAGCAGGCTGTTAACACTGGAGAGCGAGCAAACAGCCTGAGAATGTTCATAATGCAGCAGACTTCTCAAGTACACTTTTCTTTTTTAAAGAAAATAAAATTAGAAGTTGGTGTAGCTCAGAACAAGAAAGCCCTCTCAGAACATTCCTATTTTGTTATTTTGTTCAAATTTTAGGGAACGAATAAGGTCAGGCACATAGGAAAGTTTGGGCTTTGGCTTCCCAGGGGTGCAGCAGGGGGAGGCACCCCCATCTGGAACGGGTCCAGAGGGAACTGAGACCTTTTCCGAGGGATTCAGAGACTCCAGTAAAGTAGATGTTGCTATGTATCAAAAATGTCCCCTGTGAACTGGGCTCGGGCAAGAGGGAGAAACGCATTAGGAACAGATGTGCTGACTGAGGAAGCGGGTACACTAGCCTCAGAAGTCCAGGTGGGAACCGGGAGGAACACATAATAGCAGCCTGTGGGCCCTGGGTGCCGGATGTCACCTGTGGGCTTTCTTGTTTGGAAGCTTCTGTAAGCATTTAAGCATGAAGGTCTGAGCTGCAGGAGTGGGCACAACCTTAGCCAACAGCTTTAAGCTGAGACGTGAATCCCAGAACTTCGGAATCCTGCTTAGTATCACAGGCCGGATCCCGCCACTGCGCAGGTAATTGCTAAATGAGAGCAGCCACCATGAAGCACTTCAGTAAGCAGTTCTAAGTAAGCATCAGGGGCCACTCCGCCAGCCTCGGAGGCTTCAGGACTATCTGGTCAGCTCCCTCTGCTAAACAACTACACACAGGCAGGCCACACACCAGAGAACAGCGAAGGACACTGGGAAAAAAGTTTGACTGATGCCTTTGCCTTGTTGAGTAATGAACAGTTCGGAGAGGTCAACCCATTACAACCGAAACTGTTTAATTATTAATTATGCACAGTCTCTGAGCAAAGGGACAAGTCCGGAATGTTTAATGTGTGCTAACTTCAACTGGACTCTCTCTCTCTCTCTCTCTGGGTATTTTGTTATCAGCACTTGTCAGCAAGGTACTCAGGCATAAAAAGGGCAGCAAATGGTGTGTGTACGCGCACACTCACTGAGCTGGAAGGCAGAGGGGCTTACGGACATCCAGCCCCAAGTACAGCTGCGGCCAGCTCACACACAGTAGGTCTTCCACCGTGCACACTTGTGACTGACTACAAGGGCAGGAAGGCGGTATTCCAAATTCAGGAAGCACATGTGAGAAAATGCTTTTGAAACAACTGACTTAAAAGGGAGGTCGTTTTGGTAAAGGAAATCCTGTTTGAAAGCCATGCTTCTTGGCTTTGAAAGGATTGTGGTGAGGCTGGGAAGGGAATGCTTTTCCCGTGGTTTGGTTCCCAGCACTGGATGGGCCTGTAACCCCCAACTCTGGGGGTCTGACCTCCTCTTGTATCCTCCATGGTCCCTTGTACTCATACACACACATCCACATGTAGACATCCACCCATACATATAATTTAAAAATAAAAATAAGTCTTTGAGAGGATCTGTGTCATTAATGTTCACGTCTCCAATAACCCCTACTCCTGTCCCCACAAATAATCACATGTAACGTTGTAAAATCTAAGTAAGGCCAGCGCCCAGATCTGTGCCCACTCTGGCTTCCTGGCTGCCATGCTGTGTTAGAGTTGTAAGTGGGAAGTAGGTATCGCTACTGTCTCTGACTGCATGTGAGCCAAAAATTAAGTGAAAATGCTTAAAACGAAAACGCTATAAGAAATTCCTAGGAAGCTCAAATTCTTAGACCTCTGCTTTGTCACAACTGAAAAAAGTTGCTTAAAAATATTTCTGAGAGCCGGACTGTGGTGGTGCAAA